TCCCTCTGCTTCTCCAGCCTTGGGAGGCAGAGGAAGGAAGATACCTCCCTCCTCCTGACTGCCATGGGGCAGACAAGGCAAGTTAGCAAGTCAGCTTTATTTTCTTTTCAAAGCAAATGTAGGTGCAACTTCAGCACAACGAGGACCAAAGAGATATGGTTGAATAACGCCAAAGTCTATTGATTGTAAAGAAGAAAAGCATGTCCTGGCTCCCTGGACTTGGCTTTCAGGCCCTGTGGAAAGACGGGTGGAAGTGGCTTATTGCCTTGTCGTGCTGGGATACCCTGGAGCCAGGCTTGTGCAAATCCAGCATCTCCCCTTATCGCAGACCTGTTTACATTTCTCCTTTGAGCATGCCAGCAACTCATCCTTTAATTGATACCCTGCTGCAAAAAATCAGGAGGCCTGTAGAAAACCTTGGGCCCCCTTTCTCCTCTCCTCTGCACAGGCTCAGGCCCTGGCACCCGCTGGGTGAGCCGCTCGCCTGCCCGCCATGCGGCACTGCTGCCACCATGGGCACGGGGCAATTCAGTGGGGTGGAGCAGCCAGGCTGTCGAAATCGGTGGGGCTGCTGTGCAGGATCGTGTGAGAGCCGCACAGTAAAAACCCAGTTACAGCCTCTCCAGACCTGCCACTCAGCTGAGTTTGAGTCCTCCGACACTATAGGCAAAATGGCAAAACACCTGTTGACTCAAGGGTGGTCTCTTAGGCCTTTCTCTTCCTGGAAAAGGACTTTTTTCGGTTTTCAGGGAGACATTAATTCATGGGAATTTTCTGTCCTGTCCCCATACCCTTCGGATAGTCATTGAGTCACTGGGAAATCTTCCCAAAATTTGGAGGATGGTTTTAGTTTTCACTTTTTCTTTTAAAGTTGGGTGTATGGTATGGATTCAAATCCATGTCTTATTTTGAACGGTAGTTAAATATAGCTGGCCATGGTGGCACTGGCCCCCCAGCACACAATCAAAGACAGGCAAATGATGACTTGCTCAGCTCCCTGTCATTTTGGTGCCGCACAGTGAGCACCGCACTCAGCACATTGCTCCATAAATTGGAGCTTGAACATATTGCTCAAGGCAAGGGACCAGAGAATGTCTATTTTTGCACTATATTTTTGTGTGGAAAGGACTTATTTTTAAGCACATTCTCTTTAATCTAATAACAATGATCGTGTTGTGTGAGTAACCACAGTGGCTCCTGTTGTGTAAAATGGGTGCTTTGCATAAGCCTTTTATATCCTGACTTAAGTCCAACCATGCTTTAACCAGGCTGTAATTAGCAGCTGCCTACTAGCTCTTGTGTGCTTTGTGGCAAGGGCCGGGAAGAGAGCTCAGCATCCCACCCACAGGCACCCGCCAAGGGCACAGCTCCTGGCACTGCTGCTCAGTGCCTAACCTACCAAGCAGAGAGCTAGGTTCAGACTTTACAGAAAAGTGGGGTTTTTCTGAGCAAAGCTGGCAAGAGGAAGCCAGTTCTGCAGCTCTTGCCTCTGAAATTCCTGATTGCAGGACAGTTGGCCAGGCCTGGGGCTGCGCTTTGAGCCCCAGGCACAGAAAACATGGTACAGCAAATAGAAGCCTTGCCCAGGTACCTGATGTTTGTCTCACAACACTCTGAAAAGTGAATTGCTCAAAAGTAGAAATTGGCAGGTTGGAGGGAGATGGGGAAGGACTTTCCTAAAGACCGAGATGGAACCGGTTCAGGATTCAAAGATCCTGAAAGAAAGTGTCTGGCACTTGGGTCCACCTTGAGTTTGGCTTTGTCCCCTCTCTTTTCATCTCTATGTTGTTCTTGGTATCGAACAGAAGAGTGGTGGACTGGCTGCGTGCCCTGTTGCACCTCCAGCATTGCATGTGTGTCCATTGGGGATGGAAAGGACACTGCAAAACTGACATCTGCAATGTGTATTTTTTTCCCTAGATTATGTCAGGCGAGCAGGGGGCAAGATCCTGGTACACTGTGAAGCTGGGATTTCACGCTCTCCCACCATCTGCATGGCATATCTCATGAAAACAAAGAAGCTCCGCCTGGAGGAGGCCTTCGATTACATCAAGCAGCGTAGGAGTCTGATCTCGCCAAACTTTGGTTTCATGGGCCAGTTACTACAATATGAGTCAGAGATCTTGTCTTCCACTCCCAGCCCCCCTGTTGCCTCGTGCAAAAGAGAAGCTGTGTCTTTTTTTGCAGAAGAACTGACGTTGGGCAAAAATTTTGAAGGCTCGTGTTTTGCCTTTCCTACCTCAGTCTTGAGTTCTGTGCCCATCCACTCTCCCGTCCATCAGCTGAAATTTT